CCATACGTTATTGTTTATTCTTTTCTTTCTTTCCATTGTTTGCAATACAAACAAACAAACAAACAAATAAATAAACAAAATATTGCTTATTTTTTATTTATAAACAAAAATTGTGATTCAAATACTTTGTGATTATTTTAATTTTTATTATTTTTCTTCTATTTATTTCATATTTTGTTCATATTTGTATGTATTGCAAATTATAATGAAATTTCAAAAAGTTATACTATACTATAAAATAAACTATTATCAGTAATTATTTGTAAGGAAATTTTTAGCACCATTAAACTTTATAATTATCTGTAAGGAATTTTTAGCACAATTAAAACTTTATAATTATCTGTAAAGAAATTTTTAGCATTAAACTATCTGAACATTTAATACAAAATTACTCATTGTGAAGAATTTTTTATTTTTTTCAAATTTAAATTTATAGTTTATTATAGTTTAATAATATTATATTAAATTTATTAATCGAATTAATTTAATTTGATATTTTTCGATTTTCAATTTTATATATTTTCTTTTTTTGATAAATTAATACTAAATTCAATAAATCATTTCTATAAATAATTTTAAAACAAAAAGAAATGAATAAATTTAATTACTAAACACATATTGTATGACTTTTTTGAAATTTCATAAAACATGCCTTTCTTTCTTTTATGTAATTGTTAAAAATACTATTTGATTTGTTTATTTTGATTGTAAAAATTCGATTAAAATTTTTTTTTCCATTCTTATCTTCATAACTTTCATTATCAGTGATTATTATTATTGTCTGATCTAACTTACAAAACTTTTTATCAGTCATTTGAGCATATCATTTCTTTTTCTTTTTCTTTTCCATCTTGTTTTATTTTCTTTCTTTCTTTCTTTTCCTCATTTGTACAGTTTTTTAATAATTGTTTCCCAATTTCTCTTTTTCTCTCTTTTTTGATCATTTTTCGAATTGAACGCTTTGATTATGCTAATTTTATTACAGAAAAAAAAAAGAAATTTCATTGTTAATTTCAGTGTTTGAACATTTTAATAAAGGAAATAAGAAAAAATTAGAAATTCTGTATCGAAATATCGATAATCGTTTACTTGAATACATTTGATGTGCGTATACATCACACATAACAGCTAAAAATTACGAAAAAGACAGTATTGCAACTGTATTATCAAATCATGATCCGCACACACTTGAATGTTATACATATTACGCGTTTGACGTACGTAAAAACTACATATGCTTAGCTAAAAATGGAAAAGATAGTTTTTCACATATATTATATCTTTTTCTCTCGTTACATTCGTCCTAATCACGTAAGATTTCCATTTGAAGTATGCATGAAATACTCATAACTGTTTTCAATATAAGTGAGTCCTGACATTAATCTCTATATTATATACATAAATAACATCTCTTAACACTCGGAGGAAGCTAATCATAATTTTGTTAATTAATTTAATCTTAAAATGATTTCGTATTTTTTAAATCACATATAAAGTAATATTTCTGAGCCTAGTAATCCTTTAATTCTTCACAACACATAGCAATCGTTATTAATTAATAAAAATCCTAACTGAAATGGTGATCATACATTGGCTGTCTACAATTTACATTTTAAAAAAATGGTGTAAGAAACGCAGATAACAGCTATATTCCACGTCAAAAGTAACACATTTGGATCGCAGAACACTTTTTGTCCTTTAAATAACGTGTACACAAAATATTCTAACCTGTCATAAATGAGAAGCATTGCTATGTGTAAACGTACGTAACGAATCAATCGTTATGACTTTTCAATTTACTGTTGAAATTTACGTGACAATCTGCAGTATGAGTTTGTTCTAAAATATACGTAATGTTACTTAAGATGTACTAAAATTGAATGATTAATATTCCATTAGAAATAAAAAATTAGGGATGCACTCAAAAAGCTAAAAATGATGTGATGCGTGTTCATAGCACGAGTTGACGTAAAAAGTCATATATGTTAATCCTTTGTAGTATTAATATAACCCTAATTTTTAGATGAGATCAATCATATCTCTCTAACACTTACGTTACATTTTCCGAGCTATGATTATATTAGAATTGTGTTTCTTTCACTCAAAATTCAATGATATAAATTTCAGAAACGTGAACTGCATAATTTCATCGTGAGGCTGCGTGAAATTGAAAGTATTATCGATTCGGAGGTGGTGGTGTAGTTCATGCTTGTAATAAACTTTTTTGAGGCGTAGTTTTATACGTTCCATGCATGAGACTTCTCCAAAATTAGTAAAATGAAAGCAGCTGTTAAATCCGCCGATAATGAATGTGAAAAACTTGTTGATACGGCAGCAACAATTGTCAAGTGAGTTTTGTCGCAAAGTTTTATTTCTTTTCTAATTTCCTTTATGAATAGGTGGTACATTACATAGAAATATGTTTGCTTTCGACATTGTGCACCATCAGTATTAATTATCGCATAATAAGCGTGAAACTTTTACTCAAGCTTCAATTACATATTAGGTTTATTTGAGCGTATATCTTTGCTTAATTTTATTTGGATACCGTAACGTCTAATGCGTGATGGGGCGTAGGTAATGGTTCATAATATGAGAAAGCGTATCTTTGAAAGTTTCAGTTACAAGTCATAAAATCTTAAAGACTGAGAAATGGAAATTAGCCGAGATCTTATCCCATTTGTAACGAGTTGATGATCGGGCGCTTCAAAATTCCGTATAATAAATAGCTTCGAATAGTATACGATAATATTGATTAGAAATAAATGTGTAATGGACGATATCAAGTATGTAAGTTTATTGGCTGATTGGATATTCTTTTAGTGGATCACGAAGCGCTTTCCATCATTGCATCGTGACAATATGGTTCAATACATTACATACATTCTTGTGGAAATTTTTTTAGTGGTCATCAGTCTGATAATGTAATTTGCAACCATACAGCCAAACGTACTGATTACCTTTCCTGGGAAGAATACTTTATGGGTGTAGCACATATGTCTGCACTACGGAGTAAAGATCCAGTAACGCAGGTATATTTGTCATTTATTTATATATGGCTTTTGTTTCGCTGTTACCAAGTTTTAAGTTTTGAATGATTAGAATCGAATTTTTAATTAAAGTGTGCAAAGGATTTTTTCATTTTTTGTCCTTCATTTTTTTGCAGTTCACCTCATAAATTCTACGGGTAAGATTATTTTCTTCACCTGAAAATAGAAGTTCTGGAAACATTTTTTAATTGATTTGCAGCTAAATTTTAAAAGAGAGCTGCTACTGAAGTTCAGTGATGATATATCTTTAAGGATGGCGGTTTCAGGTTGGTGCCGTAATTGTAAGTCAAGATAAACGGATTGTTGGTTCCGGATATAATGGAATGCCTACTGGTTGCTCAGATGATATACTGCCATGGGGCAAAGGTTCCGAGAATTTCTTGGAAAATAAATCGGCCTATGTATGTCATGCAGAAATGAATGCAATATTGAACAAGATTGTGGGTTCAGTTAAAGGTTCAACAATTTACACTGTTCTATTTCCATGCAATGAATGTGCCAAACTTATCATACAGGTAAAGCTTTGGCTGAATAGAACATGTAAAGCTTTTGAGAGAAATTGGCTGATGTTAAACGTTATATTCAAATGCTTAGTTATATGTTCATCAGATTACTTTTGTTTGATTATCAGATAGTTTTCCAATTCGGTTGCAATTACTTCGGATTGAACTGTAGAAGAGTTGCAGGCTGGTATAAGTGAAGTAGTATTTCAAAGAGACAACCCGAAGAAAGTGAACACGATTGCATCAAAAAGGATGTTTGATATGGTCGGGGTTAGTTAATCAGTTGCATTTTCAAATTGTATAATCTTGACAAGTCACATAATTTGTTATATTTGGTACGATTTACTTAATATCCAGTACATATTTATTCTATTACCTAGTCCACTTATTTATTTAAGTCAATTGCTTAGTTGACATTAATATACAGAATATCTCTTTGTTTGACATCAACGATTTTAATTACTATTGGCTGAGAAGCAGTACTTTTCTAGGTACTATTATTTTAAATTTTTGGAGGAATTAAAATTTTTTTCCTCAATGCGATGATTAAATTACTCATCGGGGAAGCCATTGCTGAAAAGCAGAATCCATGCAGAGGTTCAAAATGCTGCACTGAGCTAAATGAAACATTTTAATTAAATGAAATAGTTTGTGATCAGTTAAACTTTAAGGTGCGATATCGACAGTTTTGTTCGAATCGGAAGATATCAATTGATTTCAGTGGTGATGCTACCTATAGTATTACATTGTAGTTAATGCTTGTTTTTTTGTCCTTGATTTCATTCGAATTTTTTCATCTAATTCTGTTTTAAAAATATGTTATTTTCTAAGAGTCGTCGTTCTATGCTTACATTGTTGCATGCAGTTACGTGTACGATTTTCTGAATTATTATGAAGTTAGGGCTGTAAGATTTTTGATTTTGGTTTAATTACCGCTAATAACTCATTGATTTAACTCATTACTGGCCTGAATGCTTCGTTATATTTCGAAGCATATAGCAATGTTAGACAGCATTTATGAATTCCTGAAGTTTCATGAAATAAAGAATTTTTGGGAAGTTCTCTGACTTTTGTCGAAATGGTTCATTGTTATCCGATCTGACATGTTATTTAAATTATTAGCGGAAATGAGAGTGTAATTGTTTTTAATTAGTCTCACTTTCCTTGAGCGATGTGGCTTCAGTTCGCTTTTCTAAACTAGCAAGATTTTTGCTAGTTAGATTAAATTAAAATTTCTGTAGCTGTGGTTCGGTCTTGTAACTAAGAGATTCCGTAGATATTGTGGCATATTTTGTATATGAATAACTGGGCTTGAAAGTGAAGTTTAATAATTCGATGTTGAAGTACGATGTTTTAGAATCGAAGTATTTACTATTTGCCTTTTCCCATACATCTAAGATACCAAGGTTCGCAAAAGCGATATTTGTGAATGATGCATTGATACGTCATGGGGGATTCATCCGATTTTGAACGATTTTACAGCGATGTTAGTCAGATCTTTTTTGTACTTTTTAAGTTCGAGTAATTAAAAGAAATTCTTTCAAGAGAAATTTGTCTCATTGATCCATTTTTTAAAGAGTGTGCCTTGAATTGTTATTTTAGTTAAAAGAGACCGAGAAGAGAGATTCAGTTTTAACGTCAAAGCAACAGATTGATCGTTTGTTGCGTCCTGGCTCTACCTATCTAAATTTAAATCCATTTGAGGTAAAGTTTATGACAGTATTCTTATTTATTAGGTTATTGGCGAAATTATTTGACTTTGCATAGCTTAATTTGATTATTTTGCTGTAGCAATGCGTTGCTTATCGTATGCATACTGTAAAAGGAAGCCTAAATGACATTTCTGTTTGTTGATCGACTGCCAGATAACAAAGCGATTTAAATCATTAATAGTTTCATCTATTGGTATAAGAGAACAGATATTTTAACAGTCATTCATTACATCATATCTTTATGCTTGATCCAGATATGCAATGGCGTAATTTCTATAAAGATATGATGCTTCAGTGAGTTCATTTGAATTAAACGCAGATAATGAACTCAAGTAATGCTTGTGCTAACTCATATATAGTTTGCTTTTTTCCAGGTTTTGCAAATTGATCCAGATACAGATGTTGATGGGGCTAAAAAGAAATATAAAAAGGTAATTTTTTCATTAATAAAATTTCTAAAAGTATGCCAATTTTTTTTTACAATAATCTTTGGCTTCTAGAATATTACTGTTCTGTGACTTCTAAATTTTTTTCAAAATTTCTGTACTGAAATTAGTTTTTATATTGACTTTGCAGCTTTCTTTGCTTATTCACCCGGACAAAAATACTGATGACCGTGAAAGAGCTGAACGTGCATTTGATGGTAAGAAAAAAGTTTTATTTTTCAGATGAAGTCTTAAGTATTTGGAACATCAGAAATTAACTTTAAATATAAGAGTTCATGCTAATTATATTTTGTAAAATTTCTCTTTGTTCTCCTTTTTTCCCCGATTGTATTGGTGGACAATAATTTCCAGGTTTGTATTTGTTTTTGATTATCTGAATGGATAATTCACATTTCATCCAATGGAAATTTCCTTGAAAGTAGTTAGCTGAACTTTTTTCCAGCAAAAATCTCGGAATTTTCCGTCCAAAAAATTAACTCGTAAAATTTATTTTGCAGATCAGATTAAAAAAAAGTCAAAAAATGTACTGAGACACACAATATGTTTTTAGTGGTAAAAAAGGCAATGAAAATGGTCGAAGATCCAGATGAGTTGGCAAAATGCCGGGAGACTTATACAGAGGCAAGAGCGCGTCTAGCAATCATTGTAAGTTTAAATCTTTCCGGTTCTGGGGTAATCAGTTCTGTATGGCATTCTAAATATTTCATAATAATAAATTACTGTGCTATTTCTAATGAATATAGAGGTTTACAAGAAATGACGAACTTCATTTGAAGCTCAGCTTGTCTGATAATTACATTTTAAATATTTAAAAGGTGAAATTGAGGAGTTTCATTAAAGGATCAGGAGGCGGAAGTTTGTCAATGACCAAGTTCATAGTTGCATTATGTCATGCATAGTTATTTATCCGTTCTCAAAATTTGAATTTTTCTGTCTAATTAAATATTACTAAAAGTTAATTGCATAATCATGCATTGCACTTATATTCTCTTAGAAATTATGGTAATTTCATTATGCAAACAATAGCAATTGTAGATGAGCGAAAAAAGACGTAAACAAAAGAAGAATGGCCAAGGAGATAAAATACCCGAAGATGAACCAGCGGCATATAATAAGGCACTTTGGGTGGTAGTCACGAAGGTTTGCCATTTAATTTTCGAATATCACTGGATGTCATGCTATCTTCTTTGACTCTCTGAAACAAAAAAAAGTGCAGTATACATCAGTCCTTTTCATTTTTTGTCGGTAATGCGTCGAAGTGAAATGTAAAAACGTTCTGTGCGGCAAAACAATTTTTATTAGCCGGTAAAACTGTCGTTTTTTGCCTCTGGAATGGTAAATTTAATTTGTATTCGGATAACATCGTAATTTTTCTGCATTTGTGCTTTCTGTTATGATATCTTCTTATTGTTCAGGTATTTGCTGATCGTGAAAAAAAACGGAAGATGTTGGAAGATAGAGCAAATGAAGAGAAGTCAGTTCATTCTTTCTGTAACGTCTTTTCTATTTACAATTTAGAATACGCCAATTACGTTGTAAATTGATTAATTCGATATTCAATATATTATTCATTTAAAGTAAATAATGAATGTGTCTCTTTGGAGTAGACTAGTGTCATGTCTGTTTTGTAGATAGTGATATAAAAATCATTTACGGAAATATTTCAGGCGAAGGATAGCAGAGGAAATGCTTGCAGCTGCAGAAAAAAGAAAAAGAGAGGAAGAATTCGCTAAAAATTATGAAGTAGTCATTTTATTCACATTTGATGTCATTTAAACTGTGGTCTCAAGTATTTGTTGGATTAAAAAAGTTAGAGGGAGTTTTGAAATTAGTTATTCTATTCTTTCTTGTAAAAATTTAGAATAGTTCTGTTATTATCACGATTAATTTAATCATTTTTAAAGCGATTTTTTCAAATAATTTTTTGCATATCTTCTGCAAGACAGAGAAAAACAAAAAGATATTATTCGTTGAGCAAATAATACTACTACTCAGTGCTTGTGTCAGAAGTGATCAATTTTAAGGAGTCACGTGATGAACGCCGAGGTACTTGGAGGCAATTCATGGCAAAGAAAGCAAAAAAAGAATACGAAGGGAAATCACTCAAAGGAACAGCATTTAAGCCACCAAAAATAAAGCTCGAAACGAGTGGAAAGTAATTTTAAGGATTAAAACTCGATTAATTCTTTTGTTCGATCTCTTGTAACTTCATCTTTTTTTGGTGTTGTTGTCTTCAAGTGATACTGCATCAAAGGAAAAGTCCAAGTTATTATATCCAAGTTATTGATGATTGATTAATAGTTTAATTTTTTCTTCGTACATTACAGAATAATGTAAGATGTTATCACCCTCACTATTTTTTGTTACTGTTATAATTTGAAGTGGTCTTTTTTTCACAAATTTGAAATTCAGTCTTCATATCCTTTTTTTTGCTTCTTATTCAGCTTTTTGTTCTTACGATAATTTAATTATCGTGAATCCTAAATGCCGAATAAGAAATTTGTGAAAAAAAAGACAGCAACAAGAATTCATTGTACAATGAAGAGTTCTCCTGTTTCACATTACTATATTTTAGTTATCGGTATTGAATTGTTGATTCGTGTTAATTTTTACGATTTTTGTCGAAGTAACTAATATTATATTTAACAAACGGTTTGTTTAAGCGAAATGATTTAACATCTAGTGTCGGAGACCTGTATGAGGAAACATTGTATATTATAATGCTTAGCTTCACTCTGTCATCGAAGTGGACTTGTATGTTGCACTTGTATGACTAGATAATTCTACTAAAAATAATATAATTTATCTGAAATGATAGAATCTATTAATTAAATTACCTGATATCAGTCATTATTTGATATAAACGCTTTGTACTAACAAAAATTATCCATTTTTTGCTGTGAGAAGTGTAATTATTGAATGGCTATAGTAGTATGCATTCATAAATATATTTTTCTTTAAAATAAAGATGAACAAATGCTGTTGTACACTTCTTTATCAATTTTTCAATAATCTTAAATTATTTCTCGACTTGAAAATTAGGATGAATAAATGGATTTAGAGCCCTAAAATTAGAAATACCAAAACTTTTCTTCAACTGAATTCAATCATAATTTAAAGTTTTCATCAAATTTGAAGGAGGGAGTTGAACGGACTGAATGGCAGCTAATTTTAAAATCTTATCGAGTTTTTATAAGATGAATCGAAAGACAGATGGAGAATTAAAAATGAAATTTCAATTTAAAATTTTCGATGTTTTTCTTTTGAATTCATTGACTTTTCTATACATCGATAAGGAGTGGTTGAATTGGAATAAAATGAATGAATTGGATTTTATTTCATGCGCAGTTTGTGTTTTACTCATATGGTTTCTTTGGCAACAACTGGAAAGAGTGAAGTTGGAGGAAGAACGAAGAAAACTTACGAAGAGTAGAAGCCAGAAAAAGGTATTCAGTGAAATTTTTTGATTCGTCGACTTCTTACTTCTATCATTATCCTTTTCGATATCCGACAAGAAAGAAATTATTGTAATGATTTTGATTTTAATTCCATTTCTTTATCATCTGTCTTCACTGATATATTAATTGATAAAGAAGTTACAATATTTTCTTTTAATTCAACAATTGCTAGAAATTTATTATATTTTTAATTAGATTATTTTCTGAATCTTAATTTCCAATTTTTTATTGACAGTTTTAATTGTAGTAAAAATAATAATAAATTTTCTTTTTTTGTTGAAATAATGTCTTTCACAGATGAAGATAAAAAATAAAAGTGGTAATCGAGAAAGAATTATCATTGAAGAGAAAGAAATTAATTTCAAAAAACCACTTCCTACTTCTTCTCCATCAGCACTACCACCTCCTCCACCAGTTCCTCCACCACCTCCATCACCTCAATCTTCACTACCACCACCTTCAGCACCAGTTCCTCCACCACCTTCATCACCTCAATCTTCACTACCACCACCTCCAGCACCAGTTCCTCTATCACCTCCATCACCTCAATCTTCACTACCACCACCACCTCCTCTTCCATCCGAGTCATCACCATCTGTTTCATTAGTAAAAACACCTCTTCCGACATCACCAATCGTATCATCGGGTCAAGTTAACGTAAGTTCACTTTATGTTTCGCTTTAAATTCACTTTTCATCAATATTTTCTGAAATGGTATCAAATTAATATTAATATTACATCGATATAATTGATATATGAAAAAACTTTAACCTTATCCTTGAACTATGCCAATTCCATAAATTCAGGTTCTTATCTAATTTTCCCTTTTTTTCAGCTATCGCAATCTTTACCATCATCTCCTCTTTCAATTCCATCAATAGAAACAACTCTTCCGAAAACATCAACCGTATCACCGGATCAATCTAAAGTAATAAATCATTTTAACATTTTTCTTTAAATTCATTTTTTCCATAAATAGTAATCTAAACAGCATATCAATAACTTTAAACTTTTTCCAGCAATCTGCGCAAACTTTAGACAAACAAAATGAAAGTGGACCAGAATGGGGTCCACTTGGTAAACAAGAGGTTTGATTGTTTATTATTTAAAATATTTCAATTATATATCCATAATTTTTTCTTCCATGTAATATGTTAAAATTTTAAATTTTACGATATCATTTTTCTACACTTACATTTTTTAACTTTAACTAATTGAATTGAAAATTTTATCACATATGTAAATATTTTACTTTTGATCATTTTGCAATAGCATTTAAAATATAATGAGAATAAAAGTATCTTTAAAATATGAATATGTTGTAATAGAATCTGATTTAATGTTGCAATAGAATCTGATTTCATGTTACAATAGAAAAAATAGAATGTGATTTGATGTTGCAATAGAATCTGATTTGATGTTACAATAGAAGCAATAGAATCTGATTTGATGTTACAATAGAAGCAATAGAATCTGATTTGATGTTACAATAGAAGCAATAGAATCTGATTTGATGTTACAATAGAAGCAATAGAATCTGATTTGATGTTACAATAGAAGCAATAGAATCTGATTTGATGTTACAATAGAAGCAATAGAATCTGATTTGATGTTACAATAGAAGCAATAGAATCTGATTTGATGTTACAGTAGAATCTGGAAAAATATTCTGAATCCTACTACAACATTGTATATCAAGAATTATTATTATGATAGAATTATGATAATAATCTTATATGCAACAAAAAATTCTTAACAAACAATTAGGATTATTCTTTTTCAACATTTTATGATTGTATTTTCTCTTCTTTTTTAGCAGTAATCTTTATTTTAATTCTGCCAATTCTTATTTGTTACTTTTTTTAAACCAAAAAATAATTTTAAAATTTTTATAGCCTAAATATATAAACTAAAATTATAGTTAATTATCGCTAAAAAAATCGATAATATTAACTGTTGCATTAATTTACATTAATTCATTCATTAAAGAATAATATTTATGAAAAAATAATGATAATAATAATCATTGATAGAAATGCGAATCAATATCTTGATAAATTATTATTTATTAAATGAATTTTTTTGAAATGAAAGTCAATTATGTTTTTTAGATACGACCACAACAGCCGTGGGTATTTGAAGGTGAAGCTAATTATCCACCAAATTTCTTCACAGCAGTTAAGCAAACAAAATAATAGCTATGATAAAAATGAATTAAATTTGATAACTTATCATCTACGAGAATTTGCAAAATAATATGCACAACATATCAATATTTATTTTGACAATAATTAAACATATAATTAATTAGTATTAATTTAACAAATGCATTATTATGCAGATAAGTGCAAAACATTAAAATTTTTAATCTTAATAATATTTTAAATTTTAGATAAAACTTCTTTAATAAGATGAAAATAATATACTTGAGATAATAATACTTGGTGAATTAATGATAAGTTATTGATAGTAGATATGAATCAATGATAAGTTATTGATAGTCCTGATATGAACTAAATTTTTATACCAAAATAATTTTTAATACAATTTGCTTAACTTATCCAATAGAAAAAACTTTTTCTTGGCATTAAGGCTATTTAAATTTATAATTACACACGACAATTACATTAATTAGTCTAGTAGGTTTAGTATTAATATTTCGTTTTATGATAAATTTTTTCATTTCATATTACTTTATCATTTAGTACTAAATTCAAATATACAAGTATAGCTATACTTATATTAAGTTAATTAGTACCAATAAATAGTAAATTAATCAACATTAATTTTTGTTTTAAGTGCTACACACTATCTACATTATTTGAGTTCAAGAAAAAAGAAAAAGAACAAAACCTAAAATTAATCTTAAAAATTCATAATTATTTTAAAATTGGAATTAAAATTGATACATTCAACTGTATTATATGTTTGAGAGAATTAAAGAAAAAAAGTAAAATCAAAAAAACGAATAAGCTGCAAAAGAGCATATTATTCGTCAATTTCGAAAATCAATCGGATCTGTTTTAATCTGATCGTATCGCTCATTTTCAGAACTTACTGGATCAGAGCTAATTTTAAATGCTTTCTTAATTTCCTGAAATTGTTCTTTTTCTATTTCAATTAGAATAATTTTAAGAAGAATCACTATTATTCGTGCAATTGCAGATACAATTTCTTCTTCTTCTTCTTTTCCTATAACTTTGCAAAATTCTTTCTTAATTTTAATTTCTTAAAATTATTTTTTAAATTTTGATTTTTCGTAAAATTATTATTTATTTCATTTCTTTTTTTAAAAAGTAAAAGAATCAGAAAGAATTGACAAATTTTCTTCTCTTTCACAGTTTAGCAATTCCATGACAATGCCATCAATTTCCATCCAAAGAATTTAATTATAATTTAAATTTGAAAAAAAAAAAACCATTATCTAAAAGAAAAATATTAGGTTAAAATAAATTATGCTAATGTTAAACAAAATCGTAGCATTTGAAAATTCAATAATTTAGAAAGAAATTTAAATTTTGCAAAATTAAATTAATTTATTAAATGTGGAAGATATGAGTTACACAAATGAAAATTTCAAGATGTTGCAATAAAATTCATTTTAAAAATGAGAATTTTCTTTTTAATTAAATTTTAATTTATACGTAATTTCACTATTTGTGGTTTTGATTTGGATATAATTTATTCTTGCAATTGATATATTCTAAATTAATTTCATTTTAATAAGCTATTATTTTGCTAATTATTTTAGCATTATTTTTTATTTAATGAATTTTATCATCAAATACTCTAAACTCTCATATCAAATCTGTCCATAATCTAATTGTTATAATAATAGTATTGATGTTAATAGTATGTTATAGTATTAAGTGTTGCAGTATAATAGTTAAAGTAGTGTTAGTAGTGTTATAGTGTTATAGTAGTGTTATAGTATATAGCATGCTATAGTGTTACAGTATAATAGTAAGTTATAGTACTAAATGTTATAGTATGCTAATGTTAAATGAGAAAATTTAAATTTAAATTTAATTATTTTATATTTATGATGACCATTTTTTTCTCAATATTTAATATATACAAGCTCCAATGTTTATTATACATATTATACATATATTATACATATAATATATATACTATATGTACATATTGAAAGTGATATAGGTTTTGAAAAACAACAAATTGAATCGACAAAACACAACATTCTAAATTGAAGTAATTGGAAAGGTCATTTTTTTATAGCTGCCAATTTAATTATCGAAAATTGAAGAGAAAGAGAGAAAAGTTTCTGAAGATGATAAACTGAATTTAGTGATGATTTAGCAATCGAATCAAATCTTTTACTCAAACCAAATTGAAATGAATTAAATTGAATAATAAATTAAATAAACCCAATTTAATTAATGCTAAATTCAAGCTTTCGCTGACAGATAATTACATCAAATTTTTGTGATATAACTTTCCCTCATTGAAATGTCTAAATACAGCAAAACTGATCTATTTTGCCTAGGAAAAAAAAGGTTCCCTTATCGATTAATATTAATAATTAAATATTTATATTTGGAATTTATAATTTTAACCACCGAAAAACGAATTAAGCGATAGGGACGATTTCTTTTTAATGATTGTTTCATGTCTCGATGTTCTGCTTTCTGGACTAAAGTTCTCTTCTTGTCTACCCGGTTTTCTGGTAAGGTTTCCGGATTTGATCGAGTGATCTTGTATTTATTAAACGATAAAAAAACATTTATGTGATGAAATTATGACTATTACGGGCTTTTCAGTTGAGTCATCAAATGAGAAGTTATCATAAGGAGGAATGGGATGCGTTTTGCAAGTAACTTAATGATTGTTAATATATAGCTTGAATATAATACTTAAATTGGAAGATTCATTATTAAAATTAATAGTGCAAATGCTAAAGTGAATTATTAAAACTTTTAGTGCAAACAAATAAAGACATTAAATTCAAATATTGCTCTGATAAGGAAAAAATTTTTTATTCACATAAATAGCTTTTGTCTTTTTGTGTGCGTATTTATTCATTGTAATGTAATAAGTTACGATTGTTTATATCACTTTTCTTGCCAATTACATTGCACATTATCTTGTAATATTACTTTACTTAAGTGATATTAGTTCCGGTATTTTTATTCCTGAAATGTTACGAAGGTATACTTCGTAATAGCTACTATCATTGTACGAAATGCTGATATCATAGTATTACGGCTTACCGGATTATCACATCATTCATAGTCAATGCTTTTACCATACTTAAAAAAAATACAAAGTGTTCATCAAAATTCAATCACGTGCTTGATTTTGCAGGTTTTGATCGGTTAATGATAACGAAATTTCAATGGATAGTTATCAATTTGACGTTAACATCATGTGCCTTTATTTATATCAATTTACGCTTAAGGCCTTTATGCCTAGCAAATCTTAAACAACAACGAAATGATGATGAAAAGGATAGAAGGCATGAAAAATTATTATATACGTCGTCAATTGTGATTTATAATCGAGTAAGGTTCATTAAAACATAAAAAATTTCGAATTAAGCATATTTGAACATCATATTTATTTATATTCATTGTTGGAATTTATACATTAAAATAAATTTAATTTAAGCCATTGAATTAAGGGAAGTATAAATGTTAATAGCAAGAAAGCAATGCGGATAAATTTCATATTAAAATTTAATTGGCTGAGAAAGCCTTTGAATTATTTAAATCAATCGTAGATGGTTAATTATTTAACGCCAAGAAATTGGAGTATGTTTTTTAGATCCCGAAAACTGGTTCAACAACGCTCACCAATGCTGCGATGTATGATTTATGCCATCGCAATGGCTTCAGTGTAATTCACTTGAATTTAACTAGAAATCGCTACCTAATGAATATCGTCGATCAACGGCGATTTATTGATAATATCACTAATTGGAAGGAGCGAATGCCCGCCATTTATCATGGTCATGTTGCCTTCATTAATTTTAATCGGTACTTCTTAATCTTTATTGATTATGAAAAAGTATCTTGGGTTTTACTGTTGAGTTATTTGAGATAATTCTTACCGATTCTTAATAACAGTTATAATACTATTAACATGTTATCATTTGTTATGTGATCTTGGAACATTTAGCTATCTTAATATCGAAGTAGTTTATCAGTTATGTTGATCCATTTGTCGATTTTCTTTAAAATTTCTTAATTCTGGTTAGCTCGATCTGATCAGATTATGTTATTTGAACATGTATAAACCAGGGAACAGGTTTGATCTTTCAAACCCATGTATATTAAAAAAAAATGTTTTAGGTTTGGCCTTCCAAACCCAGTGTATATAAATTTAATACGGGAACCTCTCGAACGGTTGATATCTTATTATTATTTCCTTCGTTATGGTGATAATTATCGTATTGGGTTAAAAAGAAGCCGAGCAGGGAATAATGAGGTAAATCTAATTGATTTCTTTATTCTGCATTCTCCTTTTACATTATAACTTGAATCTTATGTAATATCTGTATTTTTCATCAGTTTAATCAGAGGGATAACATAAAGTAGTTAAATGTTGATATCCTGAATATTCTAATATTTTTTTCAATCATAATTCTGTATTTTGAGAAACACACTTTTTATATTGAACAAACGCCCTTAGTAATTTGAATGAAATTAAATTTTCGAAATATTGAATCTCAATCATTTAGTTCAATCGCGTAGTACAAAAGTTTCTGCTCTCCTTAAAGACAAATAACAGCAGTTGCTTTATTTCTTTAATTCGTTAGCTAAATTATGGGCGTTTTGAAATGTTATTTGAGAGACTTCTAGACATTTGATCAATGCATTGCTCGAAAAGGACGCGACTGTGATATGAAGCAAATTTGGCTGCAAATTCCATATTTTTGTGGTACACATCATTTTTGTAGGTAAGAAGTCGCGTGTGAATTTTTTTTTTAATTTTCACTTTTCATTTTCCGGAATTCAATTTTGTTGAAATATTCCGCTTTTTTCGAAATTATTTGCATACCTAAATATACTTATTTAATATAATTCACTTCTCTTATCTTTTTCTGGAAGAATTCAGTTTATACTTTCTGAGGGTAATATCTATTTTACGTTGCTTCTCGGCATTATCATGTGGGATTTACTTTATCTTAGTATTTTCTAATTATTATTACTGTTCTTACTGAAATATATTGCTCTAGTGAAGTGGGAAATAACCGTGCATTAGAACAAGCCAAGTCCAATCTCATCAACTATTATCTATTGGTTGGTTTGAGTGATCAAATGAGGAATTTCATTGAATTGCTGGAATTATTGTTACCATCATTCTTTCGTGGTGCATTGAAGAATTTCGATTCCCTTGATGGTTAGTTATAATTTCTCTATACCACGAAGAATTTCAAAGTCATTAGATTACAGATATGCCGAATTAACGAAAATTATTTGAATAAATCTATAAATTGTTGACATATCTAATTTTAAAGTGTTATCCTTAGTTTTTTTTGTTAATCCTTAAGTAGATATGAAAATTGTGTGATATGTCTTTTTAGAAAAGCATGCGAATTTGCGTCACACAAACCATAAAATACCACCCAACAAAGCAACAGTTGAAGCGATTCGCAAGGATCCGATATACATTATGGAGCGTGAATTTTATGATTTCGCTCAAAAACAGTTCAATGAAATCAGACGGAGAATACTAGATGAAGCAGCAAATAAACTGCTTCCACAACAGTTTCATTATGAGAAAATCAAACCGGTATAAAGCAGTGACGATGACAGTTCACTGAAAAAACTTCATGGATGGCTGTTCCGTAGTGGCTCAATCAAAAAACTAAAGAGAGAAATGAAATCGAAATCGACATTTCCTGAAATCGAAACTGCGCTTTTAGAAACAGTGTTGTGATTGAAAATGTTTGTTTGAATTATGAGACAGATTGCAAATGTTGTATTACTCAGTTAAATATGATGTAAAAAGCGTTAGGATGTGTAAAATCAATTCGTGTGCAAATAATTCTATCCTGATTCTTCTTATCTAAGTTGCGTTATACGGAGATTTCCGTCACTGAATAATTATTGATCTCTTCTTGTAACCAAACAGATAATTAAATTTTCTTTGCTGAAACTGTTTCATTGTTAGAAATAAGATTGTGCAAAATATGTGTTTCACAAAAACTGTATATTATAATGATGGGGACTTTTTTCTTCAAACCCTTCTTTTCCCAACAAGAAAAAAAGTCTTCCCAACGAAAATCGTTGGAAAATCAACTCTTACACATCATAAAAGAGGATTAACGCTGTCTTCTGTTTCAAAAAAAACTCGTTGACATTTGCATTGCTGCGGGTCTCTGATTTCTTCCGAGATCAATATTATGTCACACTTTATTTGTGCCGATTTATTTGTATGTATATATTAACGTTATTCGGTTTTTTGAAACGAAATAAAATTGATTTCACTTAACTAACAGTCCCAATATTTACTTGGTGAACCGTTTAGTGTAACTTGTTGAGATCTTTTGAGGTCAAATTGATGATCCTTTTATAAGGTTCGCTTGCCGCTTGTAATCCACAAGAAGGAAGGGGAAGCTTTTGCAATTTGCAAAGTAAATGGTGTATAGCATTTTATGCAGCATAATTATCAACAATTTCATCAGTCTTTTTAGTACTTCTTGGTTAGGTATACCATTTTTGCTTAATATTTCAGTTAAAAGTTCAACATCGATAAGTGGGAATCTAGGTCTGATTTTAAGTGACATAACTAAAACAACTAACGAGCATGATAGTCATATCTGAAGGAAAGTATAATAATGAAGTAATTAGCACCATACGTCTCAAATATTTCGCAATTAGGTATCTTCTAAGTATCAGTTAGGAAAACTTCTAATCATTCATCTATTTCTAATTTCCATTCCCACCCCCATTATGTTTGAAAGATACAAAGTACATTTCTGCCTAATCGAAACAGAGAAAGATGAGAAAATTTGTTAGAAGTTCCGTTCTAGATAAAATTAGTTATGCTAAATTTAATAACGTTAACTAAATGATTTCAATTTTTCAGACAAAGAATTTAGTAGCACGTCACAACATACCCGTTCATGAAATGAGTAAAGAAAACAGAGACAAGAAGAATGGTAGTAAGTCACAAGGATAAGTTCGCTGGATGTTTCACTGAAATTTGTAGGCGAACATTCATTGCTGCAAGTTCAGCAATCAAATAGCGAAATACCCGAGGAACTTCAACTGGATAAACCTGATCATCCTTGCCACATAATAAACACATTTCACGTTCACTGTGGTTTACAATTGAATTCTGAAAATTTTTTGATTACTCCCAAAAATGGTCATACGTACTGAGATCGGAGATTAAAGCAGATGACGATGGATATATGTTCAAAGAACTGTGCTAATACACTATATCTTAAAAAATGATTTTTGAAAAAATTCATGATTTCAAATTATTGAGAATTTTTGCTAGTATCCGATATAATGAAGATTAAATGAAGATGAAATGAATAGCCCAAATTTCAAAGAAAAACCGTAATAATGCAGTAATTAGCAGCACACTTCCTGGTAATCGGCCCAAATCCATTCAAAAATCCACTCACCGATGTATTTTCAACTTCCGATATTGGATGAAAACACGAATCAATTTTGATTTAGCATTTTAAAAATTTGAATTCATTTAAGAGTCATTTGGGCCGGTTACCAAAAGTACATATACTATTTATATATTTACATTAAATCAATAAAACTAATAAACTGCTTACGAATGTTTCTTCTAGTCAATATTTTTAGATAATACTTCTCGTGAGTGATAATAATGATTATTTCGATGAAAACTTACTTCACTGCTTCGACGTTCCGACAGCATCTTTGCACACCGAAGTGTTGATATCATTGAACCACAGCGCGCACAAACATATGCGATGTCTCTGTCGGAACAATTAAAAAGGCGATCCTAAAATGTTCTGCTCAAAGTTTGAATTTGCTAAAAAATTAAAGGGTTAATCTTCAAAAGCTTTAAACCAAACGAACATTTAATTTTTTTTCATTAAATATAAATGCTAATTAAATTACTTGTAAAGTAAATGCAGCTCCATGGGCGATCATTGCATCACGTTCCATTTCACCAAATCGAATTCCACCACCTTTTTTACGACCTTTCACTGGCTGTAACGTTACTGGATCTATTGGACCAGTTGATCGTACTTGGAATTTATCAGCAATCATATGCCTGAGACGCTGATAATACACAATTCCGAAGAAAATTTGGACCTGAAAATTTTTTCTGAAAACTTGTGAATTTCTGAATTAATTAAAAGCGTAAAAGCAAGAAATTATTTTGATCAGCTTCAAAATCCTTGAAAAATTTCCAAAAAGTCTACCGACTCCATAACAGATGCAATATGTAATAAACCTAAAAGTACGTTTTTAACCGATAACAAACCCTAAACGGTGTTATAAAAAAGTATAGATGACAAATACACAACCTGTGGACAGCGATAACATAGATTAATAGTAGATCCAAAAAAAAGGAAAGAAATTAAAACGAAAATTAAACATCGTGTTTAAATTATCGAATGACGGAACTTTCGGTGGGAATTGTGAGAGGCGAAATTTAAGTGAAACTTGAAGATGAGTAACAGCTATTGTAAACACACAGAAACAAGAAGTTGTTTAAGTTTTAAGGAAATAAAAAGCATAATGAACTTGCAAATAATTATCATGCGTTTACCTCCATTTCCCGACCATCGACACCAGAATACATTGTTTCATTGCCATAATAATTGTATCCAGCATGAACAAGAAGTTGTCCAAAATGATCAATGGCTGTTTTCTTCTCACTTAAATAAATAGTTATTACCAATACTATCAACCTATTCAGTCCTTATTCTCCCGATTCATCACTTTTAGCCAGCTTATAAAAATAAAACTGTAATTTTTTAATTCATAAAATTCATAAATTAAAAAAATTATACTTGAAAACAAATGGCGAAGAGTCATATGTAGAACCATGCATAGCTCCCGCTTTACCAGCCATACTTTCAATCATCATTCCTGGAAAATACTATTAGAAATCTAAGGAATGAAAACGAAGTTCGTAGCAGCGCTCCTACATTGACTCCTACACTCTCTACTCCTACATCCTCCTACATTGTAGAGAAGGGTCACACAAAATTTATCTTTTTCTAAATAAAATGTAAAATACTCAGCAATCATTTGATACTTCACAGCATTTAAATCAAATTACAGAGTTAAATAATTATTTTTAAAAAGCTAGCATTATGAAAATCCTAAGACGACATCATTTAAGAAGAAATTTGTATGTAAACATTAATAAAAAGTTCTGAATAAAGAAAAAACATGCCAATTGTCATTCGAGATGGAAAACCATGAGGATTGAAAATAATATCAGGAACCATTCCAGACTCCGAAAATGGCATCGATTCGCTAGGCCATAAAAAAGAATTAATGCCTTTCTGACCATGCCTCGATGAAAATTTGTCACCAATTATCGGATTACGTTGTATACGCCACTGAATCAACGCATGCTAAAAATAAAAACTTTAATATCTAAGATTTTCAAGATGAATGAAGAAATTAGACCACAAATTAAATCAATAATTACGAAAGCCCTTGCAGCTGACCCATCGGGAGAAGTTTGCAAAAGCCATCTTAGGTCATTCTGCTGAATGCATTCACTAACTAAACTTCATGGTGATTTAGTAAAAAATATGATTGAATTTAAATCTTACACATTTGCCCTTGGTAGCACCAACACTCTCGCCTTCTTCGACAATTCTTACTGAGCCACAGAATGCCGCCTCCGTGTATTTGTATTTATGGACTTTATAACTATTTGTATCAATTTCATATACCGAATAATATGGATCACCTTGCATATACATACGTCCAGGAATCGGTAAACCATCAAGACCTATCGTCTTCTGCGGATTTTCAGGATCACACAAAAATATTAGACTCCCCGCAGACCGTTCTTCGGTTAAGTTCACTCTAACATATTTTAGGTTAGAATCACAAGTTATTATTTATGAATTTATATACTATAAAACCATAAACCACTCCAAATCATTCAAAATTTAAGAAATTATACACATATAAAAGTTAGCATCATATAAAGCTAAAATTCAGAACGAGAACAATTGCTATTTTCATCAGCAAACCAAATCAAGTGTCTACTGTCACAGCTATTACAATACTAGCATAATAATGTAATATCTAAAATACTGTTAAAAATCATAAAAAAATCATCAATGCTATTTATTATTTCTAAAATTACTGTTAAAATCATAAAAGATCAATGTACCTTTCTACTTTTATAACACTACCATGAGCAAAACCACGTTCATAGGAACTTTTATTAATAACCATAGCGTCCTCCATATCATAACCTAAAAAATAAATACAAATGATAGAATAACAGTTTCGTACTTTAGAATTAATGCTCACCAATTTAAATCTGAAATTACCTGTGTACGAAATGACTGCAACGCATGCATTCGTTCCCAACGGATACTCATCAATACCGTATTTTTCGTACGGACCTGGTTTTACGATAGGATTTTGAGGAAACTAAAAAAATAAACACTTTTTAAACCAGAATTTCAAAATTTTCCTTCCATAAACGGATGCAACAGCTACTCAAGCCGAATTTTCACAGATAAACTACCGTGAATTACTTAAATTTGTAGACAATCATTACTTTAAAATGGAACTACTTAAAAGTTCATATTTTTTCTAAAAATGCTAATTTTTCTTTTCCTAGTTCATTGCCTTTCACCATAACATCAAGATGTTCACAGAATTTTTTGGCTTATTTTATGGTCAGTGTTCTTGGATTTGCGGTGTTGATCGTAAGTTTATATCTGTTGTTTTGAAGTTAACTTCTCTGGGGTGTTGGAAGGATTGGTCTCGGAGTTATTTATTAAGATGATTTTTTGGTTTCAATAAAAAATATTTTGTTGTAGTCTAAAAGATTTAAAGATTTAATTTTGCTTTTCGGTATTGTATAATTGTAAAAGACTTTGTCATAATTTATGAACAATAGAATTAAAATGCTAATTCTGAAAATTTTTTTTTTATGAAATCAATAATATTTTTGCTTGGTAATGATAAAAAGTATTTTCATTTCTGTTTTTCTTGTTTATAGTAAAGTCGTATTTAGTTTTCTTGGTTTAAAAAATTTTTTTTTCATGGTAATAAAATTTGTTTTTAACAGCAAGTACTCAGATTTGTCCTACGGATGGCATTTTCTTTCATCATGAATGCCACACCGCCTCTTCTCCAAACTGTTTTATTATTTACGAGAAGCACTACCTGAAGACAATACATTTTACTGTCGGCTCGATAGTTCCATGCATGAATAGGTATTCCCATCGTTTGTTTTCCCATTTGACATTGATAAACATTCCTTGGCGATTGATTATGATCGGGAAATGGTATTAAGTTAGCAGCAAAACTAAATAAGCAACTGGGATGAATTTCTTGATGCATCGTAACGTTAGGTTCTGCCTCCTCCGGGTCAATACAAATCGATAAGTACACTTGCTCGAATGTACCTGAAAATTTAACTAACAAATATGAAGAATTTAAGAAAACCAGCAAGCACATTTCAGTTCAGTCATATATTTCTTCAATTCCATAATATTTTTTTATGTTTACAATTTCTCAAACCCCCTTGAAACGGATGTAAATGGATTACAGAAATATTATACCACCTTTTGCCATTAAATCAAAATGATCAATTGTTGATCTAAGTTTAATCGGAAATTCACAGAAACAAAATTATTCACAGAATGCACTAAATTTTTTGAACAAAATCTTAAAACAGCGAAATAAAATAATTCAGAAAGACTTTAATAGACTTTACCGATGAATTCAACTCTATTTGACGGAAGATGTCTGACTGGTCGTATGAGACGTGCCGGTTCAGTAAAAATGTACAGACCAGGATATTGCACCAAAATGTTAACCGGATCAACAGATTTTTCCACTAAAATTATTTCAGCGCAAGAAGGTACACGAACATCATCTGATACCTTTAAAAAACGCAATTTTCGCTGTATATGTGACGCTTGTGATTGTAAGATATGACCAATAAATTTTCCATCAACCAAAACGGGATACGTCTGGAAATCAAAAAAAAATAAAAATCAGAAAAACTGTATGAAATAATATGAAACATGAAGAAATCCTAATGTAAGTACAACAAATAACTGCATCCTCGGTATTACTACTTGAAAGGATGCATCATAACCATCAAATGAAATTTCGTGAATACCCATTCTAAACTACTACTCGCGAATACCTATTCTAAACTATTACTCTTTTTCATTCTTGCGCCACTGATACAATTTTGAAGATTGAAATAAGTTTGGTATAGGATGAAAAATAAACACCTACAGGCTCTGTAGGTAATAATTTGATAGCGGAATGGCCAACCATCCCCCATTCTCCGAGCAATTTTGGCAGTTCACTGGTATTCGAATAATGCGTAACAATGCGTACGCTTGCCGTGACATGATTTAATAGACCACATGGAGCACCATCGGGAGTATGCACTGGACATATGAAGCCCCAAGTTTCGGGGCGCAATTTACGTACATCTGTGGTACGCATTTCCACAAAAAAAGCGCCTCGATGAATCGCTCTAAAATGATCCAGGAAAAATATTTTAATGGAACTTTTATGACCGCTCATATCTGAACATGAAAAAACACTTCTACCATTTTTTAACGATGAAATGCAAAAAGTACAAAAAACATTAAATACAACAACTTCATAATCTACATTATAAGCTTCTACGCGGAAATTTACGCTTATATCTGATATCCTATGTCAGTAGGAGTAACAAAACGGCAATTATAAACCGAACTTAGAATCAACAATATGATTGAAGAAAAAATCACACCGAAAATGGGAAACAAATCGAAGTTGATTAATTCTTTCAGCAACTACTGAAAATCCACTACTTTGCTGCAGTGTCAAGCCTCCTCTGGAGATTAAATTTCCAGTAGCCAGGAAATATTCCAGACCTCGACTTATTTCTCCTGATCGCTGCGTAGCCATTGCACGAATCAACTCATGACTAAAACATATAAGCAAGGTATTCTACAAACAACAATCTTAGAACAAATTAGTGAAGAATTTCGAACTGATTTTCAAAATGAGCGTAAACCTCGATAAACTGAAACTTTCTGCTTTGCGTTTTGCCTCAAATTCAATTTTCCTTCGTGCAATACTCAAAGTATTTTCCAAACGTTCTCGTATAATCAAAAGAAGTATATGACCGGATACAGCAGCTTCTTGAAATTGTGGATTATCCAGTGATTCAGCAGCACATTCACCTTTCGTTAACGCTATTAGTTTTTGAGCCATATACGTAAGAAGGAAAAATTTATCTATATCGTTGTCCAAATGTATTGCAACACAAACGCGAAGCAAAAAACGACCAACATCCTGAAATATAGTTCATATTTGATTTTTTCTGGATCTAGCATTACAATTGATCAGTGTTAAATTACATTTAGGACTACTAAAAAAATACTGCTGAAAGATGTCATACTTACTTCAGAAGCTTCCCATGGACCAACACGATCTTGGGTAGCTACTCGGAATCTTCCGCCAATAGCACTGAGTGCTGCTTTTTGATTCACTATGCCATCATCGTTGCATAGTGCTAACATCGCAGTTACGCATCCTAAAAACTATTCCCGTTTCACAATAGAGAAGCTATAGCAAAATTAACAAAAACAGAAATTTGCAGATTATCAATACAAAGGCAGTAAATCCAGTGAATGCATTTTACCTTTCCAAAAGTGATCATCCGGTCGACACCTGCTCATATGCTCCATGATACACTGGTCATTCATTGATGTTAATGACTTGATGATATACATAAATGGCAAATAAAATAATTCACGTCGGTACTGAAACACCGATATATTTGATTTTTTTTCTAGAAAAAATTGGTCTAGAATTGTTCAACTGAGTGCATCAAAACAAATTTAAATATCCCAGTTAAATTAAACCACACATATTGAATTAAATTAATCGAAGATAACTCTAAAAAAATTTTGATGAACAATCTTTAGCAATCCTCTAGTAATTACAAACAGTCATTTAGTGTATAAATTTGTCCAGATAAAAAGTGGAAACTTTTGTTCCTATCACATAATTTCATTATTTTGGTCAGCTAAGTAACCTACTCGCTACTGCATATTATCTATTATTAAAATTGTTGCACGACATTGAAATGTAAACGACACATGAGTAAAATCACCATATTATTCTCATATATAGAAGTTGATAAAGGCAGTTCATTAAATTTAGTGATTAAAAGTTGTTGATTACCTGCAAAGCAATAACAATGGTACCACTCTCGAGATAATGAAGTGTCATCATAGCAGCTGAGTAATTGCCTCGAACGCACCGAATCATCACCCCATATTGAGTAAACAAAGATCCTTTTTCACGAAATGAACGCCTCACTATCCCAATAGGATAATTGCGACGATTTGCAACCAAAAGACGTATCACCTATTTATTTAAAAAATTCGATTAAAAGATATAAAAATGAATCGCAGATTCTGAACTATCAAAAACATCTACCTTGATATTAGATACCTAATCATCATCTGACTACAAAACAGAAAATAATTTGCTGATTTATGCATGGAAATAATTTGAATACTGGCTAATTCTTTTAACACATCATTTCTTCTCCACCGTTTATTTTAACTGACCCATAACGATCTATAACTACAACTTACTATCTATTAGGCTATTATCCGGAGAGTTGGAATCAACACTGCACTATCATACAATAGCAAAGCTTCGCAGCAAAACCTAGCTGTAACAATCTTTAATTTAGAATTTATAGAAGCTAATGCAAAGCTTAAAAAGAATGTTATACCTTTTCATTCCCTTTACAAATGAAGTAACCGCCTTTTTCACTTCCTTCTTCGCCATGCGCTACTAGCTGTTTTCTCGTTAACGAACGCAAATGACATCTGCTTGATTTTAACATTATAGGAACCTGAAATATATTTAATTGGTAGAAGCACAGGTATTCATCTTCAAATATTTTAATTTATCAATAAAACGAAATCAGGTGCCATTTAATCCAATAACTTTAAGCCGTCTACTATCTGTTAAAGATTAATGGAACTTGACAAGTAGTAATTCATCTTCCATTTCGATATGTTCTGATCTATAATAGACACGAGAGGTCCATTTTTCATGTACAACAAAAAGAGAAATATATGCTTTCTGAATAAGCATGAATTGCGCCAAAGTAAGCTACAGCACAAAACAAAGTTGCAAAAGAAATGTTGCAACTAACCTCACCAATAACAATTTCACAACAATCCATCCTAGAGCCATTCAATCGTATTTCTATCCCAACTTTTAATGGACCTCTGTAGGTTAAGCCACGTTGCCTGCACTCCGAAGGAAATAGTTTTAACGGATTAACCGCAGAAGAATCCTGAAAGAAGAAAATCATGGAATATTTCACTGTCTCTCGCTGATCGTGCCGCATGGTCAAATTTTTATCTGTTTTAATTCAATGGCTCAAACCATCTTGCTAATTAAAACATATCATTAAGAGGTTCATAAATTTATATCCAAAATAGAATTGGATGGGACTCCAGTTTTTGATTAAAAAAGTGAACTCAACGGTAATTCAAAATATTTACAACAACCAGTAACTGAATGTAAAAATTAGGATGCACCTGTCTCACTTCAACCATTGGATAACCAAGCTGGGCACCGGTATAACGTAATTCTACAGCTTCTCCAGTTGGAAGTCGGAATTTCTCGGCTGGTACATCTAATGCAGCCAAATGTACACCTTGTTCCGCCAAATAATCGAATGACTCCACATGATATGAAGCAATGTCACAGTCCATTACTAGTTATAACGATGGCAACGACATTCGTGTTCCAAATTGAAGCATATGTTCGTATTCCAAATCGAAGTATATATACACGTCTTAAACAGGGAAATGAAAACTCTTACTGTGATTTCTTATAGATTTCCAATCATCACACTTTTAGAATGAAATGCTGAAAATGTTTAATAATTAAGCATGACTTTGAATGAGAGTACTATGGTTGAAGGCGGAATTCAAAAAAACAATACTTTCACGATGTTACCTTACGGCTCATTTTGCGAAAATAGATTTTAGGAATTTCCTAATGATGCAGGAAATCAAATTTTTAGAAAATTTTACCCCACAATACGACGAACATAAACACTCACTCTGCTATATATACAACAACTTTTAATACTTGACCGTGTCAGTGTAACTCGGAGCAGATCTGGGAATAATCTAATGTTAAGATTAATTGGCAAGCAATCATTAGACAAATACTTGGTCCATCAACTATGTGGTATTCCATCCAACAATTTCTGGTGACAACATATTTATTACTTTTCAGTACTTACGCAAATTTAATTTAACATTCACTTCTCAAATTTTTAAACTCACTGAACGAAGGAGAATCTAAAATGCAGCTAAAGTGTCCTTTTTTACTTCTTTGAAGTATATATAATTCGATGTACATTTTACCATTTTCATAATAGTTAAATCCGGATTATACTAACAGGAAATGATTTATTTATTAATACTTAAAAAGTAGATTACTGTTTTACATAAAAAAATATTGATCGGCTTAATTATCAATACAAGTATAAATAGCCCAGCTATGAGTATGCTTATAATACTATTTACCATTTACCAGATATACTTTAATAAAGTAAATATGAGAAAAATTTTCAAATTTGAAACATATTAATTATATGTGAGAAAAGCCATCTTTAATACCGAAACATAATTAATTTTTTTGAAATGAACAAACATGGTGAAGTGTTCGAGAGATCTCAGAAACAAAACAAAATTAAATTGGATATTAACAAAACTTAACATTGTGCAACAAATTAAGTGTTTTAACAAAAATAAGGGTAAAAACAATATAAAACATTTAGAAAGAGAAAAAAATTTTCATTCACTTCCTCCAACACTTCGTCGATTTCGTATTTCATATCAGGCACAATAAAGCGCAAAATTTCATGGGGTGTACAGAAAATTGAATCTGAAAGTATTCAACAAAAAGCATTTAAATCAAACAAATAATCGATCTGTTAAATCAATATTAGCAATGAATTAAATGTCTCGATCAAGATACTGTTTTCAGCAAAGAATGATTCTAATAAAAGTAAACAAGCTGCAATCAAATGTTAAGCAAAATTATGTCAGCAGAGATGAATTAAATTATGTAGATAATGCGTAAATTCGAAATCCGAAATTCCAACAATATTTTGAAACAGTAACAGGTGATAAAAAGAAATTGCCGACAAGTTATAATTAATCACTTCAATAACGTAGATTCTCTTACCTGCTAAGAACTTGTGGAAGGCTTGCAATCAAGTTACCGTAACCAGTTGAGTTGTCGTACAGTTCAAAGAGCGGCGCAGCTACCAGTTTGTAATTTTTCGGCACAGCAAAAAGTGCCCGTTCTGGAAGTTGGACGAGAAAGAGCTTCGTCTGCTCTTTTGGTTTTGTAACGTGTGCAGGAATGTATGGATACTGAAAATGATTCATCGCTTTTTTAAGGATCAATTTTCCTCTTTTCTTTAGAATGGGAAAGAATTGATTAAAAATTATACAAGGAAGAACCGCAATAAAAATGAATATATAATCTGTACCCTAGGTGGGTCGAAATTCGGACGCCACCAGTTACCGATGACGTCTTCAATAGTCCACAAATCCTTCGCGCCATCTTGCCGTCCAAGAGTCTGGAAGTCAAAAGTTTTCAAAAAAAAGGAATGTAAGCAAATAAACATTAGAAAAACTTGTGCGTCAGATGAGAGACTGCAGCATTAGATAGCTCTTCGTGTTACTAAATTTCTTTAAAGAATACAAATAAAAGTGAAACACTCACTTCAGTAAGTAGTCGCTTCAACCCTTCAACTTCATCTTCTCCAGGATTTAATTCACCACCTGGTCTAGAAAATGAGAAAATTTTTGTGCTAAGCCAACAGTGTGTGCGATATAAATACATTGCTTGTAAAATTGATACAATTATCTCTTAGCAATCTAGTTAGATTATCAAGACCAAATACTTTATTACTTGAATTTGTTACATTAATGATCACTTTCACCTTAAAACTAGAAAAATTTAATTCAATTTTAAGAATGAAAACATGTATTTGCACAAACTTACAATTTGAAAAAAGTAGTACCAATCTGCAATAATAGAACATGAGGTAGAGAATGTTCATGAACGAGTAGAACACCTTCTACCGATCGTCGCATTCCAATTTTTTCATATTCTTCACGCATGCGTTGGAATCGTGCCTGTACTGAATGGTCACGTTCGGCCTGTGGATCTTTTGTCCCAAAAGTGTAATTCGTCAATGGGTACCTTAATTACTTACTTTTTTATATGAGGTAACATGGCAAAATGGCTGTTGACATTTCCTGAATCACACTGGCTAACAATTATAAATCCTTGGAAATGAGTACAACTCCGATTTTTTTCATTCACCAATGCTCCTATTTGATGTCATCTCATTTTTTTTGTCACAAATTTTTCTGTTTCAAAGATACACACTAGAAAAACTAATTTTTTTTTGGATATGATCGCTGTTCATTTGGAATATATTCTTTTTCTGATCCTATTAAAAAATTTTGAGAATCCAACTTTGAAAAATTTTACAAATTGATAGCTCGGTCAATACTATTCCGTGTGTCGTTTGGCTTCTTCAATGTAACCGGCGTGGTAGCAATTTTTTGTGGTCGAGTAGCAACAGGCCATCCCGTCCGTGACATTCCCGTCATTTCACTAAAACTATGCACTTCATTTTAAACCAACAATTATCGATTTATATCACAAATATCAGTCTTAACTCATAAATTTTGGGACTCGTGAAACGAAGCCTCAGAACGAAAACAAAACTATTAAATTTCAGAATGTGAAATATGAAAAGAAAACATCATTAAATTCCAGAATTTATAACTTACCAAAAAACGCCTGTCTTCTATCCTAACTTTAAAAGTATTTGATCCCAGAATCAATGAAAAGCTCGCGAGAACCACCACTACCTAATCCAGACCAACACTCCGTACTCTATACCCGAGATAATGCTTTAACACCTGAAGGGATGTGTCTGTTGCATGCAATGCCTTACGAAAAACGCTGCCCTCAATCGATTTATAGTTTCTTTTCTGGTTAGTTTATTTGCGTATAATTGATGTCTTTGGTGAAGTTGTAGTGATATTTGTTAACGTGGAGAATTTTTATAGAAATTTTATATAATTTTGATGAAATCAAAAAACTGATGGGATGATAGGGCATTGTTAGTTATAGGAAATATGTTAATATTTCTTAATTAGTTATAGAAAAAAAAATGTGCAGTAGTTTTATCTTCTTATCATTTGTCTAAAACTTATTTAAATTTGTTATATAGCATTTTAAGCGATTATTATGTGTAAATTAGCAACGGATTATTTTGCTAGATTTGCTTCGAATCTTTTTTTTTTTGAAATGAATAAATTTAAATTTCAGATGAATAACTATAACTTGCAAAACATTGACGATGAAAACAATAGCATTCACGAAGATGACACGGAGTCGGAAAATACACAGGCTAGTGAAGATGATGAGAGAGAACGGAGACCTTTCGATGTTACATTACCACCAACCCATCAATACCTACGATTAAATGGTACTCCTTTTTCAATTGAATTTCACTATAAAGCTGAATGGTACAATGTTTAAATTATAATAATCTGGGGGACATAGCAAAATCATAAATAAGAAAAAAAGTCGGCAGCAAATTCTATGTCTCTAAGGTTTTTAGAAGTTTCGTAAAGTAAACATTGGCCGACTAATACTTGATAAACTAAAAGTCGACAGTTCAATGATAAGCTAAAAGACGTGATTAACAAAATGATTGATGGTAATTAAACATCGATAGTAGGAAATTGATATATAATGCTAGCATGAATTTTGTATTTAGTCCAGAGAAAACGACTTCCAAAGGGTTATGCGATTTTGATAATGCATTGCCGAAATTAATTTTAGTAATGATTGATTAAATGCGAGATAAATTGGTATTTGTATATTTTTGGTCACATACGTCACATAGTTAAAATACTTGGCTCGTTTATGTTGGCGCCATTAAGTGAATTAAATTAACTTTGTTTCTTTCTCTCACTGTTAATTAGTGGTTTTTTTTATTTTGACCAGATAACTGATAATGGTAAGAATAAGAGATTATTTACAAACTTTCTAATAGTACTAATTGTAATACTGCTAACGTTTTTATTATTAAGGTAAATATGCGAATTCACTGATATTGTAGGAAATGATGATTTGCCGCATAGTTTCAAAATGGAAGATGCTGGAAAATTGATAACAGTGTCAATCTTAGAAATGCCAATTGTTTTGCTACCTACGCAGCTGCTCCCATTCCATACCGATTATCCATTACTTGTCTCGCAACTCCGACATGCAGCTCGAGAAAATGAATATATAGCATTAAAACCGAGATTAGATAACTTTGATACGGATATTGCAACATTAATTCAGGTTTGCACATAACTAATGAAATTATTATGAACTATGCAGTTGAACCTGATAAATATGGACAAATTGCCTAAAATTGAATATGGATGAGAGTCATAGTTCAACTGTATCATTTAAATTATTTTTGTGCAGAGAATGAAATTTAATTCTAGTCTGAAAATATTTAGTCAAATAATTGGAATGGAGGCTGATAACAGTTTTAATAATTGAATTGGAGACGATTAAATTTTAACTGCATTTACTAGCTCAGGTCCGAAGTTTACAAGAAAATGATGGTGGGATTTCTGTGCAAGCAGTAGGCCGTCAACGTTGCCGAATACTCAATCGACGATCCGCCATTAATGGGTACTTTTGCAGTCACAATTGTCCTATAAATTAGGTTCTGGAACTTGTCATTAGAAAATTTAAACAGATAGGAAATATTTAATATTTCAGGATGCCGTACGGTGAGGTTCGGGTTTTGGAAGAAAGAGAGTTACCACCTTTCTCCCAAGTGTTAATGCCCACTTCATTTGCTCATATGCGACCTAAAAAAGTAAGATGATTTTTCTATTTTTAAATGAAAACGATAACCTTGCTCTTAGTAAGTAGAAGCAATCTGCTTTTGAATTCAGTAATTCAAATAGAAATCTCTCCTCCACTGTTATTTTTTAATCCTTGACATGAACTATCACTGTAAAATAATAAATTGAGAATAGTCAAATGAAGATATGTGAGTTTGAATGAAGAGTTGATAAAGACGGAGGAAAGATAACCATGAATTTTCATCATTGCCCCCAACATTCTTTGAGAATGGAATGACATGAAGATCTGCAGTTCATTATGACTGGCGTAATTGCTTAAAGCAAAAATTTCTTCAGAGTTTACGGTATTTTGCGGCAATGACGTCACATTCATATTACGCGTTGAAGATATCATTGACGGTAATTTTTTTGCTTATGGTAAAATACTCATATTTCTATAATAATTCATACAATTTTCTGGCAATTTAATCATAAATTTATTTATTTATTTAGTGCTTTCAGTTGTTTGCTATATGTGAAAAAAAGTGATGAAAAACCTTGATTTGTAGAAGCATTATATTGATGAAATTGCCAAGTGGCTTTATGGTTGGCATGTGTATGAGAAAGTGAAACGTATTCTTTCTAAGGTATTACTTTTTCTCAAATTCGATGATACTAGGGCTTTCGTATGAATTGCGATATTTAAAACTTTCTCGCGCAAACGATACATCTGTTTTCATGAAGACAGTTTTTATAAAGCATCTTGAAACAAATATCTTGACAAATAGGATTTCCAGTACTTTTCTTTTAGGGACCGACGGCATTGAGTTATTGGGTAGCTGCAAATTTACCAATTGATATGGAAATGCGCTTACGCTTGCTGGATGAGCCATGCACAGATAAAAGATTGAAGGATGAATGTGGCATCATTAATCGTGTGAATCATTTCTCGTGTTCAAATCCTTTTAACTATTAATTGAGATGACAAACAAGTAACACTAAATTTTCTGCACAAACTATAATTTGTACAGTTTGATTGACGGAATAGGTTTATGAAAAATGTTACACTCTTCACTATACACTTTAATTGGTAACACTGGGAGCAAAGAATGGAGAATGGTGTATAAATATTAACTTTTTGGATAAAAAGGACAAAACTTCTTCATGAAAGGATGGTGGTACTTTCCTTTATGAACACACTGACATTCCTTTATTTCTTCCGAATTAATTTGTTCATCGAGAAACGGATCGAACATATGAAGTTACATTAAAGAGAAAGGATAAAAAAGAGCCTGGGCAAGAAGGTTAAAGGAAATCTTGCTTGTGAATATCTTTACAAGATGCACAAAAGGAATTGCCTACTAAATGAGGGAAATTTTTTTTTTATATTTAAGAAGTGAATTTGTCGCAGTTTGTGTAGAAAATTCAACATTACCTAAGAAAATTTTTCTAATTGGGTTGTTAAGAATGAATTTACCAAATAATAAATTAAGTCGCGGAATGAAATGGAACGGAAGTTCATCAATTATATGTGTGATTCCATTCCTTTTTCTTTTTCTGAGAGATGTTGCACGACCACGTTTGGCATTCTTTTGTGTTCTGTCTTGTTGCAAATGATCGACCTGTTTAATGATACCATTTTCGTTGCAGTTCGACGTCATTGTTTGCAAGAATTGTGGAACATTACTGTGTAATATGTCACAGATGATTAATGTATCAACAGAGGGAAATAGCGCACATTACGTCAACCCAGGTGGGTATTTTAATCATTACAGTAATCCGATTAATTGCCAGATGATATTGCAAATTATGCTGCAAAATCAGTCCCAAAATCCATCCACCATGCTTTTTTTCGTATTAATTGAAACAGGGAAGAAAGAAATTAGAAAAAGAATTGTGGTCAGAATATACTACAAAATTCATCTGTGGTTTTTGAAAATACAACTTCTGCTTTCAGATCTTTCGTATTTCATTACATTTTTTGAGATTTTAATATTTATCAAGTTTTTTTTGAAAGCATATTTTCAGGTGGTTATGTACATGATTTATTTACCGTGTCGGAAGTAGTTTCAACGGTTCCACGTGGATTACCATCATCCGAATATTCTTGGTTCCCGGGGTTAGTCATTGAAACGTTTCTTGACGAAAGATGGGGTAACTTTAAGTGATATCATTTTAATGTATCTAAAAATTCATTCGTAATATTTCAATATAACATTAAAATTAAAAATTGTCAGTTGCCAAGAGTCACTGATCTAATCAGTTGTTAATGTTTGACTTAAAAATACAGATTTGTCAAGCTTTTATCTGTCACCACTTGTGCAGTTGTGTAATCTGGTGAAGGATAATACAGTTTGAAGTGTTCTAAATTTCAGCACACTATGCCAGTATAATGTAATACCGCTAAGACGATGGGGAGATATTATGTAGAACAAAAAGTGTAGTTCATATATAAGTGACCAAAGCAAAGTGAAATTACAGTTATAAATGGACCATTCGCGAATGTTCATACTGTGGACAGCATATTGGTTGGCGTTTCACCAGTCCAGATTTATCGCCACGGTCGTTCTACGGTTTGACGCGACGTTCAATTCGACCTGCTGATTCACAACGTCCAGTCACTTCCACTGTTCAACGTATTGAACAATTAGCTATTATCTGAATGTTATTTCTTAAGCTTAGGGAAGATTCTCTTAAGGAAATTTTATAATTTTGGAGTGATGCGGATAATTTCCTTAGTGGGTGAGAAGATCATGAAGTGGTAAACCGACTCACTTGCTAAAAAAAAAAGAGATAAGTTTGGTTCACGCGCTTGTCACTAATAGTGACAAGCTAGGAACAAAAGTAACCATAGTTTCGTAGGGTTATTGAGCGATTTCTGACTCATCTTATACAGAATGTGTGTCAGGACTGTCGAAAAAGAAACGTTGTCAGTAAATCAACTAAAATTGAATTGGTAATTTTTCGAATTTTCTTTTCAAACTGCAGTTTCTTTCACAGGCGTTCAAGTGGCTGAGCAACAATACAATATTTGATACATGATGCGTTACTATACATAAACAATGGGGAAAACATAAAGAAATCGCAGGCAACTTTTTAAAAATATCCTTTACCATGTCTTTTACATGTTAATCTCTCACATTTACAATTTGCAAGGATTTTAACCGAATTTGCGGGAAGAGTTGCGCTACCGCCTTCAGTTCCCGGCAGAATATGTTTGATCATCGCTTTTTTCTCACTGTTTTCAAGTACTATAATCTGTTTGTTACTCAATGTCACCATTTTGCTTTCAATGATTTTCTATAAGTGTTTAGTGCGTAATTTTTCACGCATATCTTCACTCAGTTTTGACTTTATCCGAGAAGAAACCACTCATCTAATTTAAGATTATTTTAAGCCAGATCCCTCTAGCTTATGTTTTTGTTTAGGTAATTTAGAATATAGCTGTGCTTCTTCCCATTCTTAGAATGATCCAGCTCCCTGTATGTTTAATATCATGTTTGTGGTTGTGCGCCTTTCTGATTTCCTAGAGAGAAGAAGGAATGAAATATTTGAAAACAGGGTAATAAATAGGATTGAAAGAACACTATGTATACATCGAAGTACGCAATTTTTATATTTTGAAGAGTAATAGCCAAGGAAGGAGAAAATAGCCAAGCGGATGAGAACGCGATGTCATGCGAAAAAGATATTCAGTCAGTAGGATCGGGTTTCTTAGGAAAAAAATATGCAAAATAAATTTGCAAAAGTCAGTTCACATATTTTTGACGGTTCAGATCGCAGTATTGTATAATTATCATTGTACTTTAAGCCGTAGTGTTCGTAATTATCGCTGTGTTTAGGCCGCTGTACTGTATAATTTATTTATAATGTTCTAAATTTTCAGTCATTGAAATAGGTATGATAATTAAATCAGCATTATCTCTCATTGTTTACATCGCAGTATTGAAATATGCTTTGTACATAAGAAATTACGTTTGATAAATATTTCACTGATTTATTCCTCTTTATTATCTAATTGAGAAAGCCAACATTTTCGCCCATTAAAATGCCAAACTTAGATTGCCCTTTATGATATTATTGATTAAAATCAGTTTTCCATTCCATCGACTTCTTTCTATATTGATTCTTCTCTTTTCAAAATAATTGTTAGGTGTCACCACAACAAGTAATGGATATCCGTTTAATATTATTACATATTAAATATCATCATAGCTAATCAAAATATTCCCTTACAAGAATTTGACTTAGAGCCAAGACAAGGAATTCTATGTTGTATTAAACATGCTCCATAATTTTTTCCAATTATAAACATTTAATGCCTCGAATCTTATGATCAAATCATTTTGATATTCCGCTGTTTTACATGCTTTAAAATTTAGACGAAAAATGCTTCTGCCAGCAACAAGCTTTGAAAAATATCCAACTTGAGAATATATACATTGTATTTAAAAATAAACATACTACGCGAAATACATTGTATTTAGAAATAGACATACCATCTGCACACGAAACATTAAGTAACTATACAAACGCTAACCACTAGTACATATTGTTTGTGTGGTCATCATATTACCCGTTTTTTTCGTCACCGTTTGACACCTCTGTCCTGTAAATTTGTTTTCCCGTTAAATAAAAAAAATATGCTTTGGCCATTCATACAAAAAGACCGTAATTCAAGACTGTCATAGTTTCAAATATTCAGCCGCCATATACGAAAAAATGTTTCGCCCGTTTATGCAAACACATATTAATTATTTTACTGAAAATCGAATCCATGTTTGCCAGAATTTATTTTAGGACAAACGTCCCGTCATCCTTCTATTCAATTGACCCATAGGTTGTTTCTATCTTTCCTCGATTAAAACTAAACAAAAAAGATTCCAATCATAGTGTTAAAGTAATACCTCCTTGATTTGTTGCTTTCATATACATTGAAGCTGGATTTGACTGGAAATGTCCGAAATGTATTCCATCAAATCCATCGACATTTCCGATACTTCCAAAATCACCGAAAGATGGAAACATATCAAAACCATCCCAAAGATCATCAAATAAACTGCGACCATGAGTTGCTTTCCAGTGAGCTTTCCTGTGCACATCTTCATGACTTCTTCGATGAATATTCATACCTAAAACAGTTGCGATGCCAAGATCATCCACCAACCAAAGATTAGAAACATACTGTTTTCTAATCTAGTAATGAGAAAAGTCACATAAAGTAGTCATGAGAAGTTTGAGTAAAGCCATACTTGACTCTATGATAATACCAATATAACATTCTAATTTTAGGGGAATTCTGCTTTATGTTTTTCCACTGAAAATGTAAACTGTAATACATTACACAAAATCCTGCAGATCTTACTGAAGCTACTTCAAAAGGTTTCTTTAAATTGCGAAAAAGTATAAATTTCTGCGATAAATAATCATACTTTCTTGGAATTCACGCATGAAGGAATCAAAGTCGAAGTCGTGAGCATGCTGTTGTTGCTGATCATAAGACCAACCACCAGCATCATACTCTCGTCGTTTTTGTTCATCAGCAAGTATTTCGTACGCTAAAATACTTATGCTGCAATGACTTTGAAAAAGAAAACCAAAATGACCGAAACGAAATTATGGGGAAGTACGGAGCCATGAGACACCAAAACTAAGGTACAAAACTGGAGATAACTTTTTGTATTAGTTTGTTTCTTCCTCTTCCGCTACAGCTAATTAAGAAATGTCTCAATAACTTCAAAATTCCGAGAATCTATTCCATTTAACAACGAGATTCCATACTTCATAGGTTTGTATTATTGGATGAATTCTACATAAAAATTAAAAAATAAATGAGACCCCAAGATAACCACAAATTAAGAATAAGCATTAAATTTTGAACAGCTCATAGAAGTTGCCACAACAGAACCGTGAGTAGATATCCTACAAAAGACGAAAAAAAAACTTTAAGTTTCAGCATAAAGGTCGAAATTTTTTTCCGAATGTATAACAAAACATGCGATGAGATCCAATTATTGCAATCACTTAATCAGCAATATTCCGAAATTACAAAAAAGTTGAAAAAAGTTGCATTAAAAATTTAATCGAGCATATACAGTGGATGTGAGGTTATATATTAATCACTATAAAACTCAACAGAGTCATTTTGAAGATTTAATGCATGAAGCATAAAACGAAATGAAACTCAAGAGATTTTACTATAAATAATGATGAAGAACCACGGAAATTTTCAAGCAGATTGAATTTTAAAATGCAGCTAATCAGAGAGGAATGTGAAGTGTGAAATGAATTAGAAGTATCCGATTCGCCCTACACAACTGCTCCAAAAAAATTAAATTTAGATTTTTTTATTAAATTAAAAATACCAGTATTTTATTAAATATGACATAAAAAAGATACCTTCCGCGATTTCTCGGAATTTCTCGTGTGCATTTGGATCATTACTTCTATCCGGATGATATTTAAGTGCTAAATTCCGAAATGCTTTCTTGATTTGTGCTGTTGATGCATCACGTTTAACACCTAACACCTCGTAGAAATCTCTTGCAGCATTAATAAATAATATAAATAACTGCACAATGAATGCAATATCCAACAGTCGCATTCCACCGCACTCCAAATTAACATCAAAATTCAAATCCCACGCGTTTTTACAGAAAAGATAAGCAACGTCAGCTAAAGAAATTACGGAAAAATGCGGACGAAATGCAAAACACCAACCCATCAGGAAATTAAGACTCGGCCATGGACCGAATGATGTTCGTTGCTTTTTTCAGTGAGATGATCTATATCTTTTTCTCTCTTTGTTAAAAGTGTGTCATTTTCCCGTTCTTTTCGAAGAGTACGCCATTTTCCGACTTTTGTTAGAACGTATCATGGTATAAGATGATTTGCGCTATTTCCGAAGGTGATGTAAGTCGTTGTGACTATTTTTGCTATTGAAAATTAGAGAGTGTAAATTAAAAACAGTAGAAAATGTAAGGTATAAATATGGGAATTACAGGCTTATGAATAAATAATGAAATTGTAATTGTAAGAAATTCAAGATACATGTAATGTAATTACAAGAAGTATAAGATAAGTGTTGAATAATAATTAGATTTTAGTAATTGTAAAAATAAACTTGTTTATTGAAAATAGTTTAGAATTTTGAAGAAAATTTGATCTGGAATTTCGTTACTATATGGTAAGTAATAATAGCTAAATAGTTATAGTTAATTGATTTTGTTCTTTTATTATTTTTGCTATTTTTATTCTTAACAAAGCAATAATGAAAGTTGGAGATTTACCGACTATAAATTGTAGTGGTAAGTTTTGGCATGTCAATTTGTGAAATCTCAGCCATTTCATTAGATCATTGTCACACGTAGGTCAATGAAGATATGAAATTATTTCTTTATTCAAAAGATAAAATCATCTTGTAAATACCTAAATGGTAATAGAGCAAACAGAAAGAATAACTAGTGGAGAAATTAAAATCCAATAAAAAAAGATAGTACTAATGACAATTTTGAATTAAATATGTGTGAATAATGTATCAAAGGTAAAGTTTTATGTCGTTTGCGATTTTTTAGCAAATTTTATCAGAATTTACTACTCTTAAATTAAAGTTTAATACATTTATGCCTTCGATTTGTTATCACTTTAAATAGTGTAGTAATGATCACCGATCTGTTTAGTAGAGTTCAGAATAAGTAAGATAACAATCGCTTCAGTTTTTGTTGTAATAGATTGAACGGTTAATAGCAGCTGTTTCGTTCGTGTTTTAAACAGATCACAGAAATGATCACAGGATCAGAGTTTAGTTGTTTAGTCTGTTTTTCTCAGTCAAGTCCGAGTGATTATTTTCCACATTTGCATTTCATATATAAGTAATAGAACAAAATTAAATTAAAGATGTCGCTTCTCTTAATTCTGTCACTCTTTTTATGTAGACAACAAAATATAAAATTTCACTATGGTACGCTTGTACAACTTCATATGATTTTAGGCTTAGCATCTTCAAGTCGATTAATTATTTATTCGTTTTCTATGGTATTTATTATCTATGATAGATAGTAAGGTGATTCAATTATGTTAAATATTCAGTTTGACATTACTTTGAAATAAGATCAAAATGATACTTCGATTAATTTTACTGTCTTTATACTTACTATGTGTTTGTTCTGTTACTTAATTTCTTTTTTTTTGTTTATTCAATGTACTGATATGAGTAACAAAATATGAATTAATACAATTTATTTAAATTTGAAAAAATGGTTGAAATGAAAATGACCGTCTTTCAAGTAAATTTTTTTAACATATAAGCAAGAAAGAGGATCATTTTGCAGATTATTCAGATCTATGTAAAGCCGCTATTTCAATATAATTAATCATTTCCGAATAACAGCACGGTTTTCCTTACTGGAATTTTGTTTGGGATGGGAGATTTTCGGCGAAAAATATTTGAGACGAAAATGTAGTTTAGGATATTCAAGTACTATGTCACAATCCGAAGAGGTAAACTCCTTTCTTTTTTTTCATAAGAAGGCAGATTCGATATACTTGGTTTGATAAATTGTGTTAATTTTTCTTAGCATCCGAACCAGATGTTAAGAAACCTTTTCAGAACCTTAAGCATCATTTTATTTTGTTGCTTAAATACCGTATCGTGGAGTGTGTGATCAGTTGTTCTATCTTCGGAAATGAAGTTAGAGTATGATAGATTCAAATAGATGGACAGGTAAAGATTGGATTATTTTTCGGGGTCGTCCAAATTTTGGGTAACTAAATTTAATAACTTATGCGGGTTTTAGTAGTACTGATTTATCGAATCACTATTGTGAGCCACTTATACTCTTAAAAAAATTGTAATACGGAAGAAGAGTGGGGCTTTAGATAATGTAAATCTCAAGCAGATATATTATTCAAAATCAGTCCATGGTATTCTTCATTAAAAATTGTGGATTTTCATAATAATATTACTATGCTTTTTATACTAATAGATCAGTTTTCCTAAATGTGTTTCTAGGAAAATCGATCAGGTCGAGCTGTATTTGCATCGTTGGCAGCTGGTGCATGTGCTGGTTCCATAGCCAAAACTACCATTGCACCGCTTGATCGTACAAAAATTAATTTTCAAAGTAATTCTTTACTTCGTTTCTATGGATTTATATCCAAAGTTTGTTTGCAAGAACTGAAATTGTTAGCATGTCTTTTTAACATGTCCTTTTTTCATTCTTTCCAAGTGACACCAAAAAATACGATATAATATTTAGTTTCTGGGAATGCTCACTATTCAATGAAGTCAGCTCTTAATTTCATCAAAAATACATACGAAACAACTGGTTTAATTTCGCTGTGGCGTGGTAATTCTGCGATGATGGTGCGCATTGTACCATATGCGGTAATCCAATTTGGTGCACATGAGGAGATCAAACACATGCTACGGGTTGACAAGGATGGGTAATTAACAATTTTTTGCTCTCTTTGGGCAATAGATGATATTTTTTTATAATATTCAAGTACCGAGAACGTTCTGCAGTCAATTTTATCCAAGTTATCTCGGATTTTGATTCAATAGTCACTTACTGTTTATGGCGTTGCGTTTAGCTTTTGAAAAATTCAGTTTACTCTATTGTGCAATTTGATCTATGGACTTATCATTCTTAGCATTCTTTAAACAAAATGTTTTTTTTTTCATTCCAGTATCTAGAGAATTCCAGAAATGTACCTCTTTCGCGGTTTGATCATTATCATTAAGATTTGAAATTTGATTTCATGGAGATTTTATCTGGTATGCTAAAATAAGGTTTGAAGTTGCGACTAACCTCCAGCTATTCAGAAAGAAAACTCCAATAAAGCGCTATATCGCGGGATCCTTAGCAGGAGTGGTTGCAACAACATGTACATATCCACTGGATACGGCCAAAGCACGCTTAGCTACATCAACTGTAGATGAATATAGTTCCTTACTAAATGTTTTCGTCAAAGATTACCAAAGATACGGTGTTAGGTATGTGATTTGTCAGTAATTATGCTACCTTGATGTTTATTTGATTCATTTAATTTGGACGTCATTACGTGATACAACGTTTATTTGTACTCACTAAAAAATGGAATATAAATTACTGTTTGGAACGCGTGACCAGACTTCGTTGTTGCGTAGAATTGTTAGCAGAAAAATGTTATGTTTCTAATTTCGTAGCAGTATTATAATAACGAATAATGTGCTATGCAACATTGTGGCAATTTTCCAAAACTTTAATTGCAGAACGTTCTACAACGGTTTAATTCCAGCCTTGCTAGGAGTCATACCCTATGCGGGTGCCAGCTTCTTTATTTTTGAAACACTTAAATTGATTTATTTTGGTGAGTTTTCGATTAAATTCCATTTTATTTTCTGTTTTTCAACAATTGTAACTGAGAGCAACAAGAAAAAATCAATGATTATTTGACTCTAAATTTGTTTCACTCTTTTGGTGAAAAGTAGGTACTCAAAAGTAAATCGAGCAACTCACTTTTTGACAATAGTGGATGGTATTGATTAGACACGGCACATTTTTATATATAGCAACCCGTGTATATAACATTAGAGTAATGAAGTATTAGAACTTAATAGGATTATTGTGAACACTTCTTTCCTTTTATCTCTTTTTTTTTTATAAATTTTTTTAAATGATTTATCGAAATATTTTCATTTAAAATAAAGTTTCCAGAGTCCATAAATTGAGAAGCTTACTTTTATTGTAGATAAAACAAACAAAGAAGTTCCATCTATATATCGTCTTATTTTCGGTGGTTTTGCGGGTTTAGTTGGTCAGTCGTCGTCCTACCCCTTTGATATTGTGCGACGTCGCATGCAAACACACCGTATTCCTCCTGGACATAATGTCTTCCGTAGTCTATATATGATTGGGAAGACCGAAGGTGTCAAAAATGGTCTTTATAAAGGTCTCAGTTTGAATTGGATCAAAGTAAGTCTAAATTAAATATTAATTAAAATAGCGTTGCTAATTAAAATTATTCACTGATTCGTTGATCTCATTTGTCTCCTTATACCGATTCTTTTGGCTTACCTTGTGTTAACATTTCGGCCATTCAGATTTCCAAGATTACATCATGAAATCAAATGTGGCAGTAGTAATAGTTTCGTAAACCTCAGATGTGAAGTGGAAATTGTAGGTTCAGCTGTTGAGAGCATGGAAATAAGCATTTATGCAATCGTACGGAGGCTTTAATTATTGTTGAAATCAAAATTACAAATTTATGGATTATTAGATATAATATTTCAGGGTCCGATTGCGGTTGGTATTAGTTTCACAGTGTATGATACTGTTTATATCTACCTCAATCACCTACTGAAAATTGAAACTTTGAAGTGATAGCAATTAAAAGGATGAATCAGATATTTTACCACACATTTTTCGAATAATTGAACGAAGCCGTAAAATATTTTACTATATGTTTAGTTTCTAGATATCGTTTAAGAAAAGCTTATAAATTTTTGTGTATAAGATTTTAAATTACAATTTACTTTCCAAATTAATCACAGAATTAATGCTTTGTTCTTATCATTATTAAAACAAACAATTGATTTTTCATTCTAATTTCATTATAAGGTATAAGGTTATTTAGTGTAATTCTGATGGTGCAATTCTTCACTTTATAGTAGCAGAACTATTTATTGAAGACATAGCCTACCATGATTTTGTCTCTTTTATGAATTTGATTATGAATGGATTTAACTTATCCATTCATAATTAAATTCATAAATTCATTGTTTAATAGTTTTCTACCATTAAATTCTGTCAAAAATTCGCGATAAGCTTAAATACATCTTTTTGAATAGCAAATTTTAAAGGAGACAAGTTCTTTTCGATTTTCAGTAGAAGAAAATTTTCAAAATTGGAGTGTAACAATTTTCATAAAATCTTTCATAGTTATAATAGATTCATCATTGAAAGTGTAACGCTGTTCATTTCATTTCTTCCACGTTGATGATAACGTGTTGATAGGGAAAATAAATTTATTATGATAGTGCCTTTTTATTGTTATTTGTATAATTCTGTAAATTTGACAAAAAGTAGGATACACTTGTAATAATAGCAAGACTGCTAATAAACTGTAGAAAGTGCAATAAGAAATTATTCGGGAAAAGTTAATTCTCATACCAAATAGCTTTTTTTTGCGCTGCTAAAAAAACACTGCTTCATTTGTATTTGTGTGATTGTATGCATGCCTTGTTTATCATATCTCAATCATGTTGATATATCCTAAATTTGTGATGCTTTTTTTTCTTACTAAATAAAGGGAACCAAGTACTGGAATAATAATGCTATGTGAGAATTGTTATAATGTACTGAAATTCGTGGATATTTGCATAATCTGAATTCATTTGTTGAATCATGCATAGAATGATTTTTTAAGCTTTCAACTTCGTATATCTTTTCAGGCGGAACGAAAAAATCGAGCAGCAGATAGTACATTGTGGAGTTGAATGCTTGAATTTTTAAAACATTAAAAATGAATGTTCTTTTCAGCTTTAGAATTTCAATTTTTTTTTTCTAGTTTATATCTTTTCTTGTGGTGGAAAAAACGGCAATTGTGAAATTAGATATTTGAATGTTTCAAAATTTAAAATTTCAGACCATAATCATTGTAGATTTTCTTTTATTAATGTTTTCGAAAAATTTTTTGAAACTTAATTGGATTTTTATTCCTAAAAATAGATAAGAAGATTGATCTAAATATTCCTGATGATTGATGCAATTTACTAAATGGCAATGGTTATTTGAAAAGTCGCAAAATTTGGTGATTAGTTGTAAACAAATCGTAATTTATATCGGAAAATTCTGATTGATTAAAAAGGATTATGAACCCGGTAAAATTTAATCTTCGCATGATTTGTCTTTGAAATATATTGATTATTGCACATTTCTAAACAAGCTTCCTCTCTCACATGTGAAATGTCAAAAGTCACGAGTATAATTCTCGCCACACGAGTAATGCTGTTATAGTATCACAATTTCTATTAATGGTTTTTGGATATAATTCTTTTTTTAGAATCTTTCGAAAAGACCTCTACAACAATTTTATTTAGTATTAATGGTAATTCTGAACTTACAGGATTTAATATTAGTATCTCACCGGATCCTTATATCAACGAACATTTTGAAACATTATTAATTCCGCAACATAGGTTATTAATGTTCTTCCGGCATATTGCAAACATGTGAGTTAGTTAATGATTATTGAAAATTGCAAAAAGCTTTCCGTCAAAAATTTAATTTATTTAAAGTGATTTTTGATTATCATTTATTTAGATATCAATTACGTAAGATGGTTATTCGCGAGCAGTTCTGGAAATTTTCAATTATTATGATAGTTGGTAAACAATCAATTTTCCCTTTTGTTCATGCTTTTTGTTTTGTGCTGATCCAATTGGAGTAATTAATGAGTGATCTTATGACCTTGATAATATTGATTTTAGTAATCTACGCAAGGAGCTAATATTGCCCGTAACGTCATTGGGTGTTTGACATTTTTTATGTCAATATTTAGGGATGGGATAAGAATTTTCATCACGGCACGGGCTATATTGTGCTTCATGAATTCGGCTGCAAATTGAACTTATTAGTCTCTGACTGAATGAGTTGGGGGCCACCTGCTTTTTTTATTCTGAGTGCTTTACTGGAGTATTTCATATTTAAAAATGTGTTTCCGATATTAGAATTTTGTTAGAGACAGCGTTGTGGTTAAAGTTTTAGGGTTGTAAAAATCAATGGTAAAATTTATCATTTCATTGTTTAAGCTATGCAAATGGTTTTATCACTTCAAATTAGATTTTATTGTTAGAATTTTTCTGATATCATTGTCGTGGAATAGTGTAATTGTGGTAAGTTTCAGAAAAAAAGGAAGGCTGAGAAATAAATAGATAATCTGTCAATGTGTCGCTTTAGTAGCCGTTTAATTATTGAGTAATCTTAACACTGACGGAGATATTGATATGACCAATTTGATTGATATCAGATTAAATGATCCAATATGGACGGTTTTTGTATTGAAAATATTTCAGCATTAAAAGATTTTCCGATCCAATCAATACCGTGTAGAAGTAAAAAATTGGAAACTTCACAATAACTCATTAACAGAATGGGACGACGACCTATGAGAAATTCAGCACCAATGTGTGAGTTATCCTTAGCTTCGCTCATGTTGGTTATATCATTTCCTATGAATTCTTGTTAAATGTTGATTCATTTTTAATTTCCACTGGATTTTCTTAATAATAGCGATGCAACCGTTTGGTAAGATCATTTAAAATGTCACTTATACACTTAGTTTATAGTACGCAGCAGTGTCTTTTCTTTATACACGATATTGCTTTATCCATTGTTGTGGTCATACGAACCAAATTCCAGTGGAAAGTTATGTGAAAAAAGTTCATTGAAAAATTTTAACTTCTTTTTTCAATGTTTAATTATGTCGGTTTGTTTTATTATTAGCTTTGGAATCTTTTCGTTTAATCATGCGTATGTATGTATGTATGT